TTTTCGTTTTTTTTTGTTGTTGTTGAAAAGGCCAAAGTCTGAAAAATAAGTGGCCTAAAACCGGTGAGAAAACTAGATTTGGGGGTACCCTAGGTTGATCTCTATTATGGTTCAGCCCCCCCCCCCCCCCCAGTCTGGAAGAAGTTTCCGCGCCACTGGGGTACCGAACTTTTACTTCGAATTTCTCAGGTCATACTAGGTCACGAAAATTGTATATCATTTATCGGTCACGTGATGCATGTTTTGTGGTCCATTTTACTCATAAATTTCGAAAACAATGTCATCTGTGTCATTTGAGGTCATTTTCAGCTTAATTTACCGGTCCAGGGGCCCGGGAACGATTTTCAAGTTGGGGGGGCGAGCCTAAAATGCCTGACATGATGCATATGAAACAGTGGCGTAGCTAGGGGTCTAAGGGGACACGTACCCCCTCCCCCTCCCATCGGGATAAAAGGGACCCTCGGGTCCGAGGAGCCCTGCGGCGCCATTTGACCGCTGAGGGTTAACGATGGCCATATTTCTACTCAGAAGGGCCCCATGGGGCTCGTTAGAGCACCTCATGGGCCCTAAATAGCCACACTAAGATCTCCATAAGGGCCCCACGCCGGCTTCTGAGGGCCTCTTGCGGCTTTTAAGGGCACCTCGGTGGTCTCCAAAGGCCCGTTACTGGCCTCTGAGAGGTCTTACCGGCCTATGAGGGGCCAGTTCTAGGGGCATTTCCCGCCTGATATGGTCCCACTCTTATTTTGAGGGCCCCAAAACGGCAACTGTGGAGGCCCTCATCGGCGCCTATGAGGGCCCACACCGGTGTCTCTGAGGGTTTCACACTCCCAACTCTGAGTGCCTACACCAGTGCCTATATTAAAGCCCTATATCGGCGGCTCTGAGGACCCAACCAACACCTGCGCATCTTAAGGCCACCCACTGGTGACTTTTGAGGGTCCCACACCGGTGACTCTGAGGGCCCCACCGGCGTCTGTAACGGCTCCACACCAGCGTCTATGAGGGCCCACAGCAACGCCTGTAAGGACCCTCATCGGCGCCTCAGAGAGAATCACACTAGCACCTCTGAGCGCCCACACCGGCACCTGCATGGCGGCCCCACACCGGTGCCTCTAAAGGCCCCTTACCGGCGGCTCGGAGGACCCTACGCCGGTGATTCTGAGGGAGCTACCGATAACCGAAGGCACCACACATGACACAAGCCCTTAGTGTCGCTGAGCTTTAATCTCATACCGGCCCTCCGAGGGCGCTACGTCAGTGCACTCATTGCCCCACACCCCTCCATCACACCCGGAGCGGGTAAACTGTGTTATACCTATAGCAATGATTTTACCACCGTTGTACGTTATGTATTTCTCAAAGTTGACTCAAGCTGGTGCAGTATAAAATCTGGCCTGCCAAACTTCGGCCAAGGTCAGGCCCAAATCAAAGCGGGATGACAATAGCAGATGTTGTCAAATCGATACTGTATCAGCAGAAGCCATTCAGATGGCAAGGAAAATGCGGTGTGTTGATGTGTAGATGTATAAAGGAAACAAGAAGGAAAGAAGACCGGAAAAGGGAGGAAAGATCTTTTCTCGCCGCCTCAATGTTGAGGGGGCGCCGCCCCCTCGGCTCCCAAGTTGGGGGGCAAGCGCCCCCGCTGCCCCCCTGTTCCCGGGTCTATGTACCGGTCACTTTCAGGTCAGGAAAGGTCAAATTTTGAAAATGATATTTAAAAAAGGCGCCCAACTAATGCAGTTTGAGCTCAGCAACACGATGTAACGATGGTGCCATTTATATTGGTGTACGATGTCAAAAACGTACTAAAAATGGTTTTGAAAAATCTATAATTGTACCTAAAATTTTGACAATAATGCAAATAACTTGGCTATTTTTGAATGTATTAGGCTAAACCTTGCTAAGTAGTTTATCAGTAGACGCGTTTACATAGGGTTTGTTGCAAGCTTATATCTCCGTCCGTGATGTTTCAAAAGATGCTAATGGTGCTTAACAATTTACAAAATGATCCCCTCTAAATATTTGAAGACCACTGCATCGAAATTATCGCCAAATTAACGAGCTAGAGCCTCAAATATGCTATGTGAACCGGGTTAGTGTGTGTTCTATCCAGGGCTGCGGAGTCGATGGATTTTCGGCGACTCCGACTCCGACTCCGACTCCGGCTTTCAAAAACCAGCTCCGACTCCGACTCCGACTCCGGGCAGAATTGTCGACTCCGACCGACTCCAACTCCCGACTCCGACTCTGCAGACCTAGCAGGGCAGTGTCCCAAAATTAATCGGTTTGGGCGTGAAACGACATCCAAATGAAAACCATTTTCCACTCTCAATTCAACCTTTCAAGATCAATTTTCCACTCCGAACGTAAAAAGCAAAGGGCATATGCGTACATGGTCTAAACGACATATCGATGCTTCCAACATTACACGCTCTACCCTATCAATATTTTTGTGAAAATGTAGGCTATCAATTTGTTTTTACTCCACTCTTATCCCTCGCATCTGTTATTAGCTTTACCTTACCGGCAATTTTCCACTCTCTTCACCCTGTCTACGGAATAATTTTCCCCTCTGACACCCAAGCTAAAATATAATTTTGGGACACTGTAGCAGGGCTGCGGAGTCGACAGATTTTCGGTGACTCCGACTCCGACTCCGGCTCGGGTTTCTAAAATCGACTCCGACTCCGACTCCGACTCCGGTCACAACTGTCGACTCCGACCGACTCCGACTCCGACTCCGACTCCGACTCCGCAGCCCTGGTTCTATCACATAGGGGAGAGTGGGGTAATTTGGCCGCTTTTTTTTATAAAACGATGTAACTAAAAATCGACAACACATTTCTGCATTTTCTCAACGCTGACAGGTGTGGCATACATTTTACTTTCTTGGACAGTAAACTTGAAATGATAGAGTAACTACTTATATTGAAATTGTGACGTATTACAAAGGTCTGCAAAGCGGCCAAATTGCCCCACTAGCAGGGTTATTTGGCCGGGGTTGTGGGGCAATTTGGCCGGTGTTAGTTCGAGGCCATGATTTTTGTTATAGGCGAGTCAGCTTCACATTCAGCAATGACGCGTGTCCTACGACGCATTTGAAGCATTTTGGAGGTTGACTCAGCCGTCACAGGGGTCGAAAATAGTCAAAATAACGGCTCTAGATGCGATGACAGTTTTTTACGAATAGCTTTTGAAGAAATCAAGCTAGGCCAAAACTAAAAGTACCATCGTAATTCTCTCGTCATTCCGCATCGAAACATGTATGTGTTGACCTCGAGAGGTCAAGGTCAAAGGTTGGCTTCAGGTCACGTTACCTCAGGTCGCTTGACCTCAAGGTTACGTGAGTTCAAGGTCATCATGTATATCATTCGATGCGCCTTGACGAGCTGAACACAATGATACCCTTTGCGCCGCTGTATCTTTTTTCTGTAAGTATTTATTAGCAAAAAAGCGTTAGGTAACCTTTGATGACGTCACATGCCCTTACAGCTGTCCAATAGGAAATATGGCATCAAGGTAGTCAAAGTTGGTCATGAATTATGTCCTTTATGGTATAATTGACCATGACAACTCGGCCGTCCCAGCATAGTGACTCTGAGCGCACCGGCCAAGTTGCCCCGCTAGTCCCGGCCAAATAACCCCACATTGCCATTCTGAAATTTTTTGTCTATAAAGTCGTCATGGCTGTACAGAACTAGATGAAATTTCTCTTGGAACCGCTGAACACCCTCAAAAATGGCGCTATAATGTTGGAATTTGTTTACAGCCCAAATACTATATGTTATACAATTTTTTAAACGGAAGTAAAAGTTACCATTTTCTAACGAAATTGACCTTTTATTAATTTTGAATAAAACTAAGAGGGGGAAAGTTTTGACATTTGTTCTCGAGTTAGTTCTGCCGACGACAAATGAATAGAGACTTAAGTTATTTCATTCACTTTTATCAGCTTTTGTACAGGTGAGGGCGGCCAATTTACACCACCGGCCAAATTACCCCACTCTCCCCTATATTCCGGTTTTTGCGAAAAATCCAAAACCTTTTGAAAAAATCATTTTTTGTAATTATTGTAAAAACATATTTTTCGAAATTTTTAAAATTTCGAAAATTCGAGATAGCTGTTTGATAGTTACGTATATTTGTACTTTGTAGTCCACTCATGCAAATAAATTGGATCTAGCTTTAAAACTGAGCTCTTGAGGGCGTTTGCCGTACTTCAATATTTTTCATCAAAATCGGCCGACATGACGTCACTCTGATGTCATTTCCGGCCAAACTATAGTAGCTAAAATATTGAAATTTTAAGACAAGGTGTCAAGTTGATGCCGCTGAGGGTACCGCAAGTTTCGTGTTGATCTGTTAAACGGTTTAGAAGATATTGCCGAAAACCGGAGACCGGAGGGGGTTCTGTAGAGCCCCCCCCCCCGCCCCAGTGATGCGCGGGTTAAATTGCGTCTGAGACACAAACTGCTTTGCGTAAGTCGCGAGAAGAGTGATGCTGTTGGGAAAGCGTACTTAGATGTGCTTTTCTACGCAAAAATTCGACGCTTCCATTCGTGAGATGCTGAAAAGCACCCTCTGGGATTATGACAATTATCCGCCCCTGCTAAAACCCGCCTGAAACAGTAGTAGGACCGATCACGCCGAAAAAGGTTTTATTCGATATAGGCGATATTCGAAATAGGCCGAATGCTTCGACCTGTAGGCTGTAGGTATTCGAAATAGGTCGAAACTTTGATCCAAATGTGATGTCCTTTGATGACGTTTATGTTTATGAAAAGTCCAAGAAAAGTAGCCAAATGTGATGTCCTTTGATGACCTTTACGTTTATGAAAAGTCAAAGAAAAGGAGACTCATGGTTTTCGCCTATTGCAGCTCTTCTGTGGGTTGGGTACTTCGTTGTTTTTATCATATACTTCGGGTAGCTACGTACCTCGTTGCAAAACCTGCACCGCGTTACACCGTTGACCTTACCCATCACCACAGCAGCCAGAAAATGTTTGAGCTTTTATTTAACGTTTGTACTTTATGTTCACATTCCAATGCATCAGTCGTGTCAGCCACAAAATCGGCCGCCGGAAGAGGAGCACCGTGCTTGGTGTTCTGTATTCTAAGCACAGTCTGGGCTTCTTTATTGTGTTTGCACATAGTACAAATAACCCCAGCGAAACATTTGAAAAATTTCAGTATAAGACGTTGTCAACGCAAAGACATTGGTAAAAAGGTATGTTACTCAATATCCATACAACATACAAAACGGTCTGGCAAAAAGGCAGCTACTAAGAATGCACATAGTACAAATAACCCCAGCGAAGCATTTGAAAAATTTCAGTAGAAGACGTTGTCAACGCAAAGACATTGGTAAAAAGGTATGTTACTCAATATCCATACAACATACAAAACGGTCTGGCAAAAAGGCAGCTACTAAGAAAACTCATCTTCCAATTCCGTGCATAAGCAAATGGGTACCGCAAGGTATGCTTCTGGTAGCCTGGTAACAAAATATGGCCGTTTGATCAGCAATGCAACGTATGGATGAAGGAATGCATCAATGACGGTCGAACACATCTAAATGTGATGTGCCATTTCAGCCCATGTCAGTCTTGTCGTTTCACTCACGACTCACAATGCCACTTTGTTGACAGCAGACTATACAGGGATGAGTGCTGACCTTACTCTGGCGGAAGGTCGTTCCAGTCTATCGGCGTCCGGTTGTTTTGAATCAGCAGCTGTCGGAAAGCGAAAACTATTCAGCCGGCGGGAAAACAAAAACACCAAACGTCGCCAGTCGCCGTCAAACATTTTCCATGCAGATTGCATAAAACGTCATCGCTGGCACTGTTTTTTTTAAAGGATATGCTCAATTGCTCAAATAGATAGCGAACTCAATGAACAGCCATTGGAACTTTATTATATTACATTGGACGCAACAATCAGTCGACTGGAATCACAGCACCAGGCGGTAACCCGTCGCAAGGGAAGGCCCAGCTCTGCGGCTCACCTGGTTGCACTTTGAGAAGTGTTTGCAGCCGAGGAAGCCGCGGTGTGCGGACAGAGGCGACGGATGGGTGGACGTCAACACGTGGTGCCGGCTCTGTGCGAGGGGCGAGGGGACCAGTAGTCATTTTTTTCGGCGAGAGGGAACTGCTGATGTCATCGGCTCCCAAGTTAAGAGCAAATTGATCCGCAAAAATGCAGCTTGTTGCGTATGAAATGTTTACTTAGTAACGGCAGCTTAACAGCATGTTACGTAAAAGTGACGTAAAAACCGCCATCTCTAAAGCCATTTACATTAAATATCAAAGGAACGAAGTGCTAGTGTCAGACATGTGCATGGATCCAAGTGATGGATCTATAATCTCAGTAGATCTCTAGGCAAACTACAAATTAGGATCTATGATCTCATAGGATCTGACGATATACCACGAACATGGATTTATGATCCGAGTGGATCCCACCAAGCAAAACATTTGAAACCATGTTTCCAAGGGTTTATATGTCAATAAGTGCCATAACACTATGCATTACGACGTGCAATCACGCGAAATAAACAGAACTTTTGTGAGCTGCACCAAGTAAATCTTTGGGATTTCTGTGTTGACAAAAAAAAATCAGTGAGGATCTAAGATCTCACCTGGACCTCAAGTAAAAAATCAGACTCGAATCTATGATACCAATTTGATAAATTAGAAACTGGATCTATGATCCCATCGGATTTCAGATCAGGATTCGCGGCAGCAGATCCCAGGTCCATTTTCTCGGATCCATGCACATGTATGCATGGTGTATTTGAAAATGGCGTAACGCAGCAAACAGCCACGAAAGAAACTACGCTTGACTCGCTTACTTTGTCAACCACCGAGCCCTTTTTCTGGGCATACGCCCCCCACAGCATGAAGACGACGTGCTTCTGGTTGCTGCTGATGTGCTTGATTACAGCGTCGGTGAACTGCTCCCAGCCCTGCAATAAATCTGTTCAGTTTCACACGTTCCCTACGTTCTACTACAAACTATCGGATATACACATAACACACATACAGTTCACAGAACGATTCTACGTAACATCATGTCCGGTTCCAATCTGTCCAAGCAGCATATGCCACACACGATATTTAACAAATAACAATCTTCAAACAGAAGTATCCAATGTTATCGTGTTTATATTCATATATTCACCAGTAAAACGCCTTTTGGGCGAAGAACGAGCGAGCGAGATAGTGAGCCCTGCACGTGCGGAAGGGCGAGAGGGTACTTCCAACGGGCTTGTGCAAAGCACCCTTCTAACCGGTCGCTAGCGGTGTGCCAAATATGAACGCGATCGGCCCAGCCGTTCCTGAGATCTGGAAGCGGCATTCTGCACGTGCGCACGTGCAAGCGGGGTCCAAACTGACTTTTGCACGGCACCCTACTAACCGGTCCCCAACAGTACCCCAAATTTGAGCGCAATCGGCCCAGCCGTTCTCGAGATCTGGAAGCGCCCCCTGCACGTGCGCACGTGCAGTAGCACCCTAACCGCAACACATGGGAATGCATTGCCTGGTGGGTGCCTACCTGTATGCCAAGTTTCAGCGAAATCGCCCCAGAACCGAGTTATTGAAATGGGAACAAATTTGGCACCCCTTCTTTTTGTATTTTGCACGTGCAGTAGGGGTCACTCACATAGATCAAGAGTACCCGAACTTTGGTAGAAGGGATGCAGTTACCCTACAAAAATTACCGCGAGACAATCGCCCAAGCGGCTGCTGAGATATGAGCCTCTCAAAATCACTACTTTTGCAAAACAGCTCAGAGGCGGATCCAGCTCAGGGTTTTTTTTTGGGGGGGCCGGGGGGGGGGGGCAAACCATAACAATTTATCGATTCTTTCCATGCCTCGTCCATAGGCGTAATGTTAAAATTATGCCGTTTGGGGGGGAAGGCAAATGCCCATTTTGCCCCCCCCCCCCCCTGGATCCGCCACTGAAACAGCTTGAACACCCTTGACTTTTCGCATGGCACGTGCCACGACGGTCACTGATAGTGATGTCAGTTACAGAAAATCGTGATACCAATACCAAACCAAATACCAACAATAACCATAGGAAAATACAAAAACCAAGCCAACTTCAGAATCTGAGGGAAATACCAACTTTTTACCGAATTCACGGCCTCTTTTACATTAGCGACGATTCACAATACCAACAAAATACGAAATGCATTAGCCTTGAAATGCCAAATACCAAGTTGGTATCGGTTTGGTATCGGTATACCAAAAAGTTGGTATCCGATTGACATCTCTAGGTGACGTTGTATCAAAAGTAGTCAATTACGGGGTAGAAGGGACCCAGCAAAAAAAGACAGGATAATCGGTCCAGCGGTTGCTGAGATATAAGCCTCTCAAAAGCGTTAGAGGCCGGGCCGGGCCGCTCATACTGAGATTTTTCCGTTATATTGAAAAGACTTCGCTTCGCTCGCTGCGCTCGCTCGCTTGTAATATGTAAAAATGCTCAAACTAGCCTTAGCTCACCTTCAAAGAAGTATCCGAAGGTCGTAAAAAATAAAGAAGCAAATGTCCGGCTAATTTGGAAAGGCAGCAAAGCGACACAAAGGCTCCGAATGCATGAGCAAGCAAATCATTGCGTATTAGAATTTAGAAACGGATTGTTCTATTTGTTCAGCACTATAATTCGTTTGTAATACGCATTTACTTTGCTCACCTGCCCCCGGGTAGTAAAAGTCCCGTACGGACGTCTAGTCGCTTCGACCTACCTGATCCTTGTGCGAGTTGGGCTGTCCGCTGCGGACCGTGAGGCAGGCGTTCAGCAGGAGCACCCCCTGGCGCGCCCAGCCCAGCAGACAGCCGTGGCCCGGGTGGCGGAACCCCTCCACGTCTGACTCCAGCTCCTTGTACATGTTGACCAGGCTGGGCGGCGGCGCCACGCCGCGTTGCACGCTGAAGCACAGGCCTGCAACAGGGGATAGGCGGTGAAACACAAAGTCGCGACAGACAAAAATTGCTGCACCTTCGTGATATCTGTACCACGAGTAACATGAACACGGGAAATAATGTACAGTCATACGAATGTACTTCCTGAGCAGGTTCTCGCATTGAGACATTACATTGAGTTTCTTGTCCCGGTCCCGTTCACCATGACCCTGTCGTCCGTTTCCTTTCTCAGGATACCATTCCTATGGTGCCCATGTGACCCGTGTCCCGTCACACGGCTTATCCACCCGTCCCCCACCCATGGCCGTGAGCCTGTCCCGGTCCGTGGTACGGGTCCTGACCGTGAGCCTGTCCCGGTCCGTGGTACGGGTCCTGACCGTGAGCCTGTCCCGGTCCGTGGTACGGGTCCTCACCGTGAGCCTGTCCCGGTCCGTGGTACGGGTCCTGACCGAGGATCACCACCTTGACGTCGTTCACGTCGCCGGCCGCCCAGGAGAACACGTGCTCGGCGCGCGGGAACACCGTGTGCTGCCGCCGCTGCGCTGTGACGAACTCGCTCAGCTGCAGACACGGCGCCGATTAGCTGAGTTAACGTTCATACGGCCGGGCGCCTGCCGGAGATCATCTCTGAGCCCTGCTCGACGCGAGAGCTCACTTAGTTTATTTAAAGTTCGAATAAAACTGAATCAAATGTAGGCTTCGTAACACTTGTTACCGACTGAAGAACTTACCGACTGAAATTCAATGTAGGTACCACTACTATTGTTCCGCCTACATTCAAAATGTAGCTCCGCAAATTGTAAACAGTTATGGACTAGTCATTCAAACAATGTTATAATGACACTTGACAATATATTTTACCTTTTTGAAGTAGGGCTTATCGAACTCTGTTTTCAGCGCCTTGTACCATCCGAGTGCCATGGACGGGTGCAGGACCTTGTGAACAGCACAGAGCTTCAGCAGCTCTGAGCGCAGCGCCGCCGGAGAGCCCGGCGACATGCCCTTGCTCGCGCTCGGGGAAACGGGCGCTGTCTTTTTCTCGGGAGTCGAGTCCACGTGCGGCTAAGGGGAAGGGGATACTAGTGAGGAGAGCATATACATCGGCTAGCACTCGGGCACATTGTCACGAGCTCGTCGGTTAACAACGGGAATAGTTCCGCAGATCAACTGAGTTATTAAGCGCAGCATCAACTATATGATACATGTGGTGAAATTAGAATCGCTAACAGTTGCCAACAATGTTACTAAGATCGCCCCCCCCCCCTCCCCACACACACACACACTCGACAAACTTCTAACATTGCGGCAAGTAACGCAGCCCGTGAGCATGGGCGTTCTAAAACAACGGGAAAACGTCCAAAGCCAAGATTTGCGCACTGGGATAATCCCATGATCCCAATCCCAGTTTCGGACAGACCTCACGATTCTGGCCAGTGGGAGCCCGACGATTCCGTTTGGCGGGCGGCCCGCTCGGCTGGTTAGACGCTGCGGGGCGGGACATCTTCAGCCGGGTCGAGCTCCGCGTCCCACCATCTCCAAAGCTGTGACTCACTGCACCCAGCCCCGTTCAGTAACCAGATAACAAAGCCCAGCCAGCCATCAACCCAGGCAGGCTGGTAAAACGTCTACGAGCCACCGACGTCCGTCCTGCGCGGCCGGGTACGTCGACTCAGGCCGCTGAGTGTCCAGTTCACCAGCCAAGGTCACCATCGACCCGAATTCCAGGAGGAACGGCTCGAGCCACCAACTGCTTGGAACACGCCCTGGGACCGCTATTCTTCACCATATTTTCGAACAACCTCTCGCTATACGCATGTGACGCCACCGTTTTCCAATATGAGGACGACACCCAGGTTCTAGTGAGCGGCCGTGCCGACGACCTCAGATCGCTTATCTCTCGCATGGAAGCTTCACTCGCATCAATCAGTGACTGGTTCTGTCTTCACGCCCTCAAGCTAAACGCAAACAAAACACAACTCATGGTTTTTGGCAGCAGACAAAATTTACGGAAAGTACCCGACTTCAGCGTCTCTCTTCGTGACTCTGTGTTGCAGCCATGCGAGCAGGTGCGGAATCTGGGTGTTGTCTTTGACAGCGCCCTGTCCTGGGAAGCACATGTGTCCGAGCTTAGTCGACGGTGTACTGGCTTGTTGATCGGACTGTCTCACGCACGAAATTGTCTCCCTGACGGTGTCATTAAAGTTCTCGTTACATCTCTGGTCATATCACGAATCAACTACTGCCTCACTGTGTACGGTAACGGGACTCAGAAAAATTTTGACCGACTCCAGAAAATTTTAAACTTTGCCGCTAGAGTGATCTTCGGACGGCGTAAGTTTGACGAGTTTGACCACGTCTCGGACCTGCGCGACAGACTTGGCTGGCTATCACCAAAATCTATGTCAGAATACCTGACACTCACGATCGCGCAAAAGGTCATTAAGCATGAAGAGCCCGAGAACCTCGCTGCACTTTTCGTCCCCAATCAAAATTTTCGAGACCGGCACACACGGCAGGATCATCTCCTTCATCTTCCCCGACCGAGGCTTGAAACCGGAAAACGGCGTTTTGAGTACCGCGCCGCGGCGCTGTTAAATAGCCTCCCACCCCAGGTAGTGCAGCTGCCACCTGCCAGCTTCGCCCGGTCTGCCAGGGCCGCGCTGATTAACAAATCCCTGCTACGCCGCTGACGAGTCTGTTTAGTAGTAGACGTAGTAGACAAGGCATGCCGCCAATAGGTGGACGATCTGTTTGTGCTTATGTATATAATATTGTTTGTCTTATGTACATATGTAGATGATTACTGTCGCGACCCCCATCGATGGATGACTGTCGTCTAGTGCTGAATGTTCTCCCCCTGCCCGCATGATTGTTACCCATTATACTCGGATCTAAGCCGTAATCGCCACGCCATATGTGGAAGGCTTTTGGTGTCAATACATACAATACATACATACATACATACATACACGCCAGTCACCAGTGCGACTGGGAGCCTGGGCCGGGGAACCTGACTGTTAGATCACAGCGTATAGCTCACCGACACCGCTCCCTGGCGGGTGGCGGACACCATGGGCGGACACCGTCACTGCGCAGTGCGCAGCTCTCACCAATAAACGGCTGTATGTATAGGGTTCGCAGTTCGCACCGTCCGGAACTGCTGGCCTCTGTCCCCGGCGACCAGCGGTCACCCCGATTTCCGACTTACCCTGACCCGCTCAGTTTTAGTGACAAAACAGATTTTGATTTTCTCTTTTACAGTGCCTTTTATGACCCCTACTGACCTGACTTGTGTAGACCATACTTACAACTTGTCCCTAACTGTGTAATGAAATGAAGTACCAATTACTTTGATCAAAGCATTGGATCAAAGGTTATTAAAAGTTATAAGCCTTGTTTGGTGTGCACTGGTGCAGACATGCACTCTAGCAGTGGTTATTGCAGCTCAAGGACTTAACTACCAGACGTTGCAGTCTGGTATGCACATACCTTCTTGTTGCTCTCCCTCAGAGGAGCATCCTCATTTTTTCTCTTGAAAAAAATTGCTATGCTCTGCTGAGTGGCCATTGCAGGCAGTATCCTGTAACAAAAATATAATGTCAATGTCAATGTTACTCTATAAAACTTATCAAGAGTGAACTCAAAATTAAATAACTGATAGTGGGCATAGCTTCTCTTCCAGCAAGTAGTTTCCTAATCCTAAGGGCTAGGGCAATATACTGAATCAAATTGTAATAAAAGCAGCAGGCAACATTGTAGGTATATGGATCACTTTGGATGTCACTGGATATGCATCTATAAAATATGTATCATAGATCTAAGCTCTGCCTTTCCCATCTCAAAAATACTATTGCTTTTGCCACAGCCAAAATATAACAACAAACATGTTGAAAATAAGGTGGTTGAAGACTAGAGGGTGGCAAATATTTTGGTATTAGTAAAGCTGGCATTACCCGCCTACCGTCAGCTTATTTTATAATAGGCAAGTAATTGTATGGTAGGTTGTAGGTTATAGTTGTGGGTTGGTAGGTTGTAGGTTGGTAGGTGCAGGTTAGGTTAGGTTAGGTTAGATACACTGAAGCTGAAGGTGATGCCAGCTTTACAGACACCAATACCTATGTGTTTATCTGCCCATAGGCGGCGGAATGAGGGGGGCACCGTGCCCCCTTTGATTTTGGCATTTTAACATTAGCACTATGGGCGTTGCATGGAAAGAATAGGACCAAAAGTCGGCAGTGCCCCCTTTAATTGAAGGTGTTATGCCGCCACTGTATCTGCCAGTATCCTATGATTATTTTATGGGAGTTTAAGTAATAATCATTGATCAATCATTAAATTCTAGGATATCATCCATGTTGATGAGCCTGCGTCATGTACATAATACATTGAAACGATTGCAATTTATAGAACATTACTAATACCCACATAAGCCCCCATATCAATATACGGTAATATACACGGTATATACATATGTTATAAAGAGAACTGCAAAAGAGACATGCACCCTTCTTGTTATTGGTGGATTACAATAATTAGGATAAATAAATATCCATATTTTCTCCAACAATACACACAGAACGCGCCAAATTTCTCTCTCCTCTCAAATTTCCCGCGCCAGCGTAATAAACACGTGCAAGTTGTCTGTTTCGTTTCAGTTGCTAGCCTATTTAGAATTATGACATCATCACATCATATTCGCTAGTGACCAACCCTGTGCTTTGTTATTTTTCATAAATATGAGTATTTACCCAGTGAATTTATTGCCAATTTTCATTTTATACGTAATCGTACGTACATGATAAAAATGTTATTAAGTTGTACGCGTTTTGAGCAAAAGAAATTATGGAACATACGTGTTATTCATGACGTCATATAACATCAGCAAGGTATTCTCAAATAACCCCCCGTGGTTTCATAAATGGGTGGGGGTCGGGTTTACAGCCGGTCCTCTCTCTAGTGCTAAACCAGTAGATTGTATAGGTACTGAGGAATAGAGCATTGTCCTATACCTAACCAACCTGACCAAACAAACGAAATCTACAGTACCTAACAATTTCTCTACCATTTTTCACTGGATCGTTCTCTCTTTGCTGGGTCAGACTCATTTCAATTTACCATTTTTATTGGAGTTGGGTTGTGACTTGTGTTGTTATCGTCACCATCATGTCACTATCAAATATTTTTTGTAACCTTTTTATCGCTCTCCCATTTCACAGTGTAGGGCAGAGGTTATAGGATCAACAGTGTGCCCACTGCATCTTAAATTGCCCCGGCCCCGAGCTTTGAATTGGATATACCTTAAAGTGACCATCCCACCTTAACATTAGTTTTGAGTTGAGATAGCCAAATTGGTGGCCATGGCCTGAAAATACCGGTTTGGGCACTCACAACATCGAAAAATGCTTTAATTCGGAGATATGGAATTTCAAACTTGCAGTTTTCGGATTCTAAGGGGCTAATGCATTGGTATGCCCCCTTAGAATTTGTGACGTCAGCGAAGGTCTAACAGTTTTTAAATCTTTTACTAAAACGTTTGGTAGCACGCGGAGGTATATGCTGCTTTGCGCGCAACAAATGCCGCACTTTCAAATAAAGTCGCTAGGAACAGCGGAGATCCCAAAAAGTAAACAAAAGTAAAAGTCCAATATCTTGAAAACCGGTGAATATTTTTCGATGAAATTTGGTACATATTCGTTTTCGCTCTTTCTGAACCGAGCGACATCACTTTCATGCCAATTCATAAACTTTTTTGAAGGTGGGAGGGTCCCTTTAACCCACGCCCTGCTGGGCTATTCAGCCATACGCGCCCTGCTGGAGGGGGCAGATTCTGCCCCCCTGTCTAACTTCCGATCTGCTGGTTGTAGAAAGATGGGGAAAATGGCAATCGAAAGCAGATCTTAAGAGACAATTTTAGATCAAGGTCAGGTCAAGGGTACAAAATCAGTTGGGGAAACTACGAGGCGAATGTCAAAAAATTGATTGGTCAATAAATGGACTTTTGATGACCATATATGGACATAAATGCAGCCCCCGCCACTAAGGGTGAAAAACGGTATAACAAGCCGGTACTTGCGGTATCGCGTCCACTTATTGGAGAGAAAAGGCTTCCATTTTTCACTAGGAATTAGCGTGAGTTGATTAAATTCGGCGAATTGACTCGAAAATGGCGATAGGAAAACGGCTTTTTCGCAGGTTCTGGGCATCACAATCAGCTGGCCATTCAATAAATGGATTGGTTTTATGAAAGAAAATTGTTAAAAGATTTAATTTAATTACAATAAACAAAGATATTTAATTTTAAAATAATAACTTAGCCACAATTAGAAAACCGTACACAAAATAATAAAAATAATGACATTTTTAAACCACGGTACTGCTTACATTTTTTGGCGCGTCTGTTTCAATCCGCCATATTTGCCAATCACGGTTTGACCTTGCGTTTTAACTCTGCGATTTATAGCCGCCAGTTAATTATGCACTGGATGAGTGTAGGTCTTGTGTGGTTAAAAAACATTCTTATGCCTTATTTTTTCATTTGAATGCAAAAATTCATTGAAAAGATGAAGTTGTCTGATTTTATGACCATATATGGTCATCGCCCCGCCCACTCCAGCCGCTGATTGGCTAATCCAATTTTTGTTTGGCTCCTCGTAGTTTCCCCAACTGAAATGCAATTTTCTACAGTATCGGCCTTGCACCGTAGGTGCCGAAGAAAGGACTGAGACTGATTGCCCGAAACGTGTCCTTAGGCTACCTAGACAATATTTGTTGCATACAATATCATGCAAAGGTCAAGGTCAGGTCAGGTCACAAAAAAAATATAGAAAAGGGAATGTGTGCAGTGTGACACATGTTTTATGGGTCATTGTATTTATAGAATTTAATAGACACACTCAATATGTGATATGGACCACATCTGGATGAATTTCAGCCCCAGACTGGAAAAAATACACGTTATGCCGAATATGTCCGGCGTAGTGGCGGGATTGCGCCGAAAATTTCAGCGCACGTCCGGCGTAGCTTCGCATGCGCCGAATTCAGCGCATGGCAGCGGACAAATTTTCCGGCGTAGGGCGATCGCATAATTTTTACGCGAAAGACGGTCACCGAATTTATGCGGTACGCTGGTCAATCTAGCAGCAGATTCGCCCTGCGAGCGGCTCTGGAGAGGTTTCGGGACGAGACGTCCCCGCCCCGGACCCGGTCGTCGCGCGCTCGAACTGGCGAACCGCCCTGAGTCTACTCAGCGGAGGAACGGCCGCCCAAGTGAGGCCTCAACCTTCGGCGTAGAGATAGGTATGGAAAACCTTGTTGAACGTCGCCAAGCGTCGTTAAGCAATAGCCTTGGTTCCTGCCCACTGCGGTATCAAGGGGAATGAGAGCGCGGACGACCTTGCAAAACAGGCGGCCGCCCTGCCCTCAAACGCCCGATCGCTGACCAGGGCGGTTCATTGTGCGGCCTCGCATCAGTGGCGCGAGAACTGCTCAGAATCACTATTCAAGCCACTCCTCGGGAGCACGCCGCCGCTCCCTATCCCCGGAGAGGACCGAGAGGATGCCATTTCGGTGCACCAGATGAGGGTGGGCCACCGGGGCTGCTCGTTCCAGTACGGCACCGAATCGGCTGTCTCCCCTCCGCCGCGTGCCAGCAGTGCCCAGACAAGCGGTGCCCAGCGGCACTCTGCACCGTGAGCCGAGAAGAGGCTGATGTGCCGGAGCACGTGCTGCTCCGCTTCCCGGCCCTCGCTGGCTCCCGCCGAGGTATCCGGTTTACGTGGAAATAAAAAACTCATTCGGACGCTCAAACATGGGAGAGCGTACAAGGCCCCGAAACACTCTGTCTGGTTGATATAGCCTTGATCGGTAGATGTGCACATGTGCTTTATATGAAAAGGGCTTAATTTTCGCACAAATAGCCACCTAATTTTTGCCGCAAATCACGGCTCACGCAGAAATTTCGGCGCAAAATCGCTTGCGCCGAATTTCGGCGCAACAGGGTCCACGGGCGTCCGGCGTAGTCTATGGATGTTTTCCAGTCTGGTTTCAGCCTTCAGGTCAAGGTCAGGTCAAGGTCAGGTCAAGTGAGATCAAATTTTGAAGATGGTTGTTAAGACCTCAAAAGGTGTTCATCTGATGCAGGTTTTCACGGCTAATCGAATGGTGCTATTTTTGTTTCCGTACGAGATCTAGAACTTAAAAAAAAATCATTTTTCGAAAATTTTGTGTGTCGTGACGTCATAAAAATTTGAATAACTCCCACATTTTTGAACCGATTCTTCTAAAAATTGGTATGTAGGTGCACACTGCACATAGACCACTTCTCTGACATATATTCCGTTTTTTTCGATACACTCAAAATTCTGCATTTTATAAAAAAAAATCCAAAAAAGTCAGTTTTTTAGAGAACAAAATGGGTCAAAATCCAAAATTTTCAAAAACCTAGATAGCCATTTGATAGACAAAGTAGAATCCCGTATATCCTTTTTGTTACGTCTTGATTCCTTTAAAAATGAAGATATTAGCGGCGTTTGAAGTTTTGCCGTTTTTGAGCCGAAATTGGCGGACATGACGTCATTTAAACGTCGTTTTCTCAAAAAAAAAAAATCCGAGGAATTTCGCTTAAATTTTCAGGGAACGTGTTAAATTGATGCATAATAAGGTACTGACAGTTTGACGTCGCTGGCGTAACGCGTTTACAAGTTATTGGCGGAAAACGGGAGGGGGGGCAGATTCTGCCCTCCCCCCCCCCCCCAGCGGGGCGCCGGTTAAAGTCTAAAAGATGAATATCAATAAAGGAGCTGTGACTGCTATACTGCAGAGCACGAACATGTAGGTTTGGTGCTCAGTGTGGCATACAGTGGACATAGATGGGCTAAATTGCTCAGCGCTAATGCATAAGCATGCATCAAGAAGCTGCTTCATGATTAAGCCAGCACTTAAAAAAGTTAGGTTTTTAATTTTGTCAAGCAAATAGATCCTATTCCTGACCCTTACTTTCACTGGTTCTGTTCCAGAGGGGATGAAGGTGTCATGGCAGCTGGCCAGACTGCTGATGATTCTGGACAATTTGCTTGCTACATACTACCAGGTAAATGTATCTGTGTCTCTCTGCATCTCTCTGTCTCTGTCTGCCTCTGCCTCTGCCTCTGCCTGCCTCTCTCTCTCTCTCTCTCTCTCTCTCTCTCTCTCTCTCTCTCTCTCTCTCTCTCTCTCTCTCTCTCTCGCTCTCTCTCTCTCTCTCTCTCTCTCTCTCTCTCTTCTCTCTCTCTCTTTTCTCTCTCTCTCTCTTCTCTTCTCTTCTCTTCTCTTCTCTTCTCTTCGCTCTCTCGTCTCTCGTCTCCCGTCTCTCGTCTCCCGTCTCTCGTCTCCCGTCTCTCGTCTCCCGTCTCTGTCTCTGTCTCTGTCTCTGTCACCGTCTCTCACTGGCATTCATCAACACCAA